ATCTTCTCACATTTGGATATCCCCTATTTTGCTGCATGGTCCAAAATCAGACGATGATGAAAGCTGAGTGTCTGGGCCTGACTTTGCTTTTCTTTCCACCCTTGTGTAATTGATGTGTGTATAAACTACATATGAAATAACATACCTAAGAATCAGACTCCCTTTTTATCAACTTGGAGCTGACTGAAAGCAAAACACATGCTTTGGTTTAGTACCAGAGCATTGAGAAAGTTCAAAATGTCTGTTCAAGGCACTCGTGTTAGGCACATGCACGGTTATCCGCACGTGCATCATTTCAGGGCATTAGAGTGCCAAACTTGCCAGTCTCAATCAGCAGTTAGGAAAAAAAAAAAAAAGGAGCTTGGAATATTGTTCATCCTAGGGAGCTAAAATATACCAGCTGTACCATGCAACTTCCTCCTGGCAAAGGCATTCTCCCTTGACTGTAAGCATATGAGGAGCACCTTCCCTTAGATTTACCTGCTCACTCTTCCTCATGTGTAGTCCAGAGCTAAGGCAAAAAGGGATGGCAGAAAGAGATGGAGACTAAAGGGATGAATATTTTCAAACATGCATGATGCATCTTGTAATGCATTCAGCCCTGAAACTTTAGCTTTCCCCTAGCCTCCTGTAACACATGCATTTACCACTCCAGGATATACACAAGCCACTGCCCCAGAGCAGTGGCTGATTTTACCACCTGACTGCTGTCTCCTGCCTCATCTCTGCAGGAATGTGTTCCCTCCACAGCCACAGTAACAGTGCCTGAAGGTATCAGAATAGGTCACCTTTAAAGGCTGTCCAACTCAACCTTGAAATGAAGCATACTGGAAAAAACCTACTGATGCAACTTGGTTGAAGCATGGGAATGAATGAATGGACAACAAGAGCTTCCTAAATTGCTGAATTTCAATCCATCAGGAGAATTTTGCCTCTGCCTTAGGAGCTTTTCTTTTAAATTAACGAATAAAAACTCTTGTCCTGGCTAAGACAGATTTTAAAACTTGTGGGACTGTGAAGTTATTTACACTTGCACTGTCATAAAAATAGACATCCTGCTTCTTCTTCTGTTCACTGCTAATAACTCTCATTCCAAACAAAGACATCAAGCAACTGGAAGAGTTAGCCAATAATAAATTTGTGATTTGGATCTTGAAGAAAAATAGCATACTCATGGTATTACTTTCAAATAATCACCCTCATCAGCGGCATGATTTTGAATCACTGCACACCAACCAGCAAAGCCACTACACTCTAATTGATGACCTAGATGTCAAGGATCAAAACAGAGATAAGCTTCAGCTCCTCCTTTAATACCATATTTTAGAAATCAGTTTTGAAAATAAGGAAAATTAGGAAAAAGCTGGACAAAAACAACAAAGAAAAACAAAGCAAGAAATGCAATTACTAAAGCCATGTTTCTTTTGGTTTGTTTTAATCATATGGTGTTGATCACACAATTTAACTTCCTTGCTCAATGTAAAGCAGCAAAACTGAATTACAGTGTACTGGATTTTTTTAAACTGAATTTGAGAAAACACAATAATAAAAGGAAAACAGAAGCCCCAGCCTCAATTCTGCCATTCATCCATTGCTGCTGAAGAACAACTCAAGCTGCATACATCTTCCTGAAGTACAAACCAGAGATGTAGTGCAGAAATTCCAAGATAACTACACAGTCCGAACAGGTTTTGGTAACACAAAGTGACACATTTCAGTACATTTTCATAAGGGTTGGGGGTTATTATTGGGCTGTAATTGCAGTTGTTCTAACACGTAATAAGCCATGGCTGGAAAAACAAAGGCAGGTTAATTTGTGATTTCCTCTACTCATTCAGAGGCAAATTAAGTGTCAAACAGCTAATACAGAACATATTTCATTTTATGAGATTTTAATTTAATTCTGCACCATATCGTTGATGCCTTAATGTAGGGTGGTTTATCTAAGAGGAAGAGCAATTTATAAACCTCTTTCAATTGAAAGCTTTAATGATAGGATACGATAGCATAATTACAGCAATGCCTGCTAGTCCTACTATACATAAGCATCTGTCACCAATTCCATCATAAACATAAACCCTTATTTTAAGGGTTTATAACTCAAATTATAAAATTCAGCTCCAGGCTGAAATTTGAGATGCAACAGTTCTGACCATCAGCAATTAAACGATAAGCATCACATATATATATATATATACACATATATATATATATATACACACATACACACCTTTTTAGAGCTGCAAGTATGTAAGAGCCCTGTAAACATCTTTAAAATTCCTGCTTTCTTTTTTCTTTTTCACTTGGCCAGTGTTCAAAATTATGTGCAGACACTGTAGGTACCATGCAGACAAGGCCCTCCTCACATTTTTTCTGCACTTGTATTATACCTAAACTAATTCCACTAAGGCTTGACAGGTTCTGGAACCTATTTCAAGGAGCTTGGATAAATAAAATTATGCCTTTTTTAAAAATTTTATTTTTAATTTATATTACATACACAGATTTGAGAGTACTACAAAGCTGAGGAGAAAACCACTCATACAATGAAGTCATTGTTGAAGGTGTAAGTAAACATTTGCTTCCTGACTGGTTTCTTGCCATTTTCTCTAAGAATTCTCAAATATCTTCTCAACTCAGTTCTTTCTTCTTTATTTTTTTTTAAATGGGTGCTAGGACAGCAGTTCAAGTAATGGCTGCAAACGATCCCAGGTAATCCTAAGTGCTTCTAACACCTGGCTCTGGTAAAACTTACAAGAAAACCACTGGGTGCCTACCTCACATGTACATACATAAATATATTTTCCTGAAAACTGCAAAAGCATGACAAACCGTAACATCTCAAAAATGTTAAAGTCTAAATGACTTTTTTTGAAGTTGCTTTATTACCTTTTTATATTTAATTACCTTTTTATATTTAATTACATCAACCACAACAGCCCCAAGTGTCCACTACAGCTCATCATTCCAATGGTGACATAAACCAAATGAGCAAAAGGATCAACAGAAGTTAATGGGGGAAAATGGACAATATAAAGGCAATTTTGAGTTTAAACTTTGGGCTGATATCAGAGTATATTTCAAAAGCATCTGCCTGCAGCCATCACATCTGGCTAAGACCTCCTTGCCTCTGCAGGGCCCAGCTGAATCACCACTTAATCAGGGAGCAGGGGTGCACAGCACGCAGCAGGGCACCTTTCCATAGAAGGAGCATGATTTTGGGGTCAGAGGGGACTACCTCTATAAACAAAGTATGAAAGAGGCATTTTCAACATCTTTTGGGGCTCTTACGAAGTCTTGGCACTGAGAGCAGTATAGACTGCTAGTCCTGATTTCCCACTGTCACCCAAAGCAGGTAACACTGGCCTACCCAGCCAAAAGCCCTGCTGTGGGTTGGGCTGCTGCAGGCTGGGTTCATGGGACTGAGGCCCCAGGGAGGGCTCAGCTCAGCAAATGCAGGAAGGGTCCCACATGGCAGAGACTTCCAGAAGCCTCTTCCAAGCTGGTGGGCAGTACTTGAGTCTTGGATGATGGCCCTCTGCTGATGCAGGTTAAAACTCCCTACCCCACCTGCCCAATACAGAGAGAAAGGCAAATTCCCCACTAGCTTCAGAATGAGCAGGATCATCTCCCTCAGCTGATCCCAAAAGCGTCCATCCATGTAGAATATTGACTGCAATGCAAAATCTAGGATTACCCTGTAATGACTATCTGAGCCTGCCACCTTCAGCTTACAACAGTATTTAGCAGAAAATTTAAGCATGAATTTGAGTGTACTTTATTATGTGGTAGATTGTGGTGTAAATGGTGATGCATCTGAGGAACCCTGAGGAATAAATCACAAATTTCTGTGCTCTCTCGTTCTATAAATACCCACTTTTCCTCTAATGCCCAAGAAGACTGCAACACAGATTTATTACTTACCTCCAGGCAAATTTGCTCTGAAATTACAATTCAGTAATAGAAGACTGACCCAAAAAAAACCTGTTAGTAAAATATTGTGTGTGTACTTGGGCATGTAGTTAGGATTGTTAATATCAATTAATTCTGCTCACAGAGGAGGACTTGTTTTAAAACAACTTCATTTTTCTTCTGCATATATGTAATTACACAGCTGTAACTAATAGCCATAGAAAAGCAATCTGCCATCTAAACAACTAGCATTATTCTTCAAAGTATTACTTGTGCTTTTCTTCTTGTATTTCCTCAGTGTGAGAGGTGATTAGTAGATATGATTAAATGTATACATCAAGCCTTTTAGTGAAGCACCAAGCCCTGCTTTTCGGCTCCATTTTTAATGGTATTTAGCAGTTTTCTGGACACATTCACTGGTTTATTCTGCAATGCTGATACCTGTCTCCCCATATGGAATAAGATAAATTTTATTTCTACAGGATTTCACCACTACCACCCTTTTCTATGCATGTTATCACTGGTATTCATTTCTTTTATCTTTGTGTAAACCATGTGCTCTATCACATTTGCCATTTTGTTTGGGTGACATTCCCATCAATCAACCGATTGCCTATATGTGCACACAACAGGGACTAAGAAAATTTACCAAAAATTTCATTATGCTTCATAGCAGTCACTAGGGAAGAAAACCAACCTAATGGTTGTTTTGTAAACAAACCTTTGGCATGAAAGGAAATTTTAGCCAAGAAGAAAACCAAGCTTAATACAGATTAGATACATGTTTATCTGGCTGTATTTCACAGGGCTCAGCACTTTTTAATTTAGCCTTTATAGAATGACACAATAAAGAATAAATGTCAGCAAAAGACACAGGTAACCTTTGCCAGTTACCTATTATAATAGAAATTCCTCAAGTACCAGCATGGGTTTTGCTTTATGAACAGATAACCTCAATGCTTTCCAAAAGTAAATCTCACACTTTGGAAAGACTGGAAAAGTGCTTCAGGTACATGGTTTCAAGCATTACAAAGGTTCATGTATTTGTCCATTCTTTCAGGAAGCAAGGGGGAACACTGAATACTCACACATGCAGAGGAGGAATGGGAGATGGTTCGTAATGGTAGCGCCCCTCATGATGTCTTGCATCAATTGGTACAGGAGGGTGGAATGCTGGAAAAAGGTGAGGAGGATCTGAAAAAACAAGCGAGGTTCCCAGATCTGAGTATCTCCAATGATTCTTTAAAAACAACATTCATAAAGACAGAACAGATACTGAAAAGCATGTGTTAAGAGTGCTATGACTTAGGGGTCACAATCTCCTTCCATGCTGCTATCAATCAGGTCTATCTGAGAGGAGAATTTGGCCCACACTGTTTGCATGAATATGTATTTACTAATTTTAATATTCTCTTTTTATAGCTTAAATGGAAAAGGGCATTAAAAAAGTCTTTAATAAATAATTATGTGCCCATATGTGAAGCACCAGATCAAAAGGACCATCACAGCTTTCATAAGCATTCCTGATTTATTTATTTTGTATTAAAACAAGAAAAAAATCATCCCAGGAAAAAAAGCCTAAGCAGAGAATACAATGCAATAAAAACATATATCCTCAGAGATGTACACACAGTCTTACAACAGAAAGCCAACCTGAAGTGACATGCTGAAAAATATAAGTAAAACTGGAGTGAATCAGACAATGATGTTCAAAGGCAAATGTGACTGGGAAAGGCCATGTTGGAGATGTTTAACTGCACCACACCAATGGCACAACCTGGAGGAATGTGTGGTAGGACAGAGGGACTCATTTCATACCCAGCTCCTAAAAAGGAAGAGTACTTTCTTTGTCCCCATGACTGGAGACCCAGGCATTCATGGCTGCAGCGAGCTCCCCTGCTCTATGTCCTCCATGGCTTTCACAGGATGGGGATTTTGCAGCTGTCAGAACTGCTGGCTCCTGCTGCTTCCAGAGAGCCTGGGAGATAGGCTGACAAAAGGGGGAATGCACCCCTGACACCCCATGGGCACTCGCCACCCTCCCCACAGCTGCTGCAGTCAGACTGTCCCCCAGCTTCGAGGGGCACAGCTCACACTGACCACAGCTCTCCTCACCGCACACCGCTGTGATCTGTGCGCCTCAAAATGTCACACGCTGCTCACCACTGCCCCCCAAACACTCACAATTCCCACAAAATGCTAAACACCTCCAGCGGCATGAAACAAACTTATCCTGCACAACCATTACCCAGTTGCCACTTTGGGTGATGTCATGTGTTTATCTGACACCAAAGGCTGAGAAGTATAGACATTAGGTCATGTCATGGATTTACTAAAATGCTTCTAGAAAAAAAGGAAACTTCAATAGTGTACTGGCAGTAAAATTAGTTCTACTCCAATTTTGCCCACCAGCTCTTGAAAGTATCTTTTCTTTATATTTCCTACCTTTCCTATTCATCAAAATTTAAATCTCCTCTTAGATTATATTATTTGTGAAAGCAGTTCCCTGGTCTCAACTAGAGATGTTTAAAAAAAAAAAAAGGATTTTTCCTCATCATGATTTAAAAAGCTGGGTTGCTTTATTATTGCTTTTTGAAGTGCGGGAAGAATGAGAGGAACAAACCTCATTGCCCTGAGGGAATTCACACAGGGGATGAAGGGGAAATAATTTCTGAGGAACTATTCCCAGTACTTCAAGAAAGCCTGGAAACATCTGACACAGACTGTCCAGTCACACAGCTTGATTTTGTGAAAGAACATCAGCATGTGACTAGCCACAGTACATTTCAGCCATTTACTGACTTAGGAACCATAAATGAAAAATAATTGTGGTTTATGATGTAAGCTGGGAGCTCAAACTCACAATATTCTTAATTCTGACTCTGTTACACCAACTGGACCTTGGCATGCCATCTGTTATGAGCTTCACTGCCCATGCCAATCACTCGTGGTCTCCAATGGAGGTAAAAAATGGATCACAGATGATGGGGAACACACTGTCATTGAGTGTCATTGATGCTTGCTGCCACCTCCTGAACACATTCCCCAGCAGACACCCAGGCGAAGGGGAAAAGGGATATGGGAAGTGAGTTTTAGCACATCTCCCTGCCTACCCTCTCCCATGCTAAACTAGTATTTGACTATAGCAGCAGAAGCCAGAGGGAGTAGGTTTGAAAGAAGATGTCTTAGTATTTTACAGTACAAAGTCTGCCACCATTTTTTCAGCAAAAAAGGAAGTCACTTACACCAACATAAATGCACAGGCAAATCCTTCTCTGCCCTATGTATCTCCTTCAAAGACTGAGTCTGGAGAGCACAGGTAAGACCACAGAGATTTTGCTACTCATATTCATGTCAGACAGGATGTGGTTCACCTGGCCAAAACATGAAATCCCACTCAGGATGCCAAGCCTCTTCACTGTCCCACCATGCCCAGCCTGAGCACCTATCCATTAAAAGCAGTCCTAGTAATTGTGCAGTGAAACACCATTTGACCCTCCTAAATGTCTAATTTACTTTCCACTGAGAAATGGAAACTTAGTATTAAACAACCCAAAAAAAAAGGTATTTTTATCTGTGGGGCTTATGCAGTGCAGATCATCAACAAGTTTTATTTATGCATGGGCTATAAATCTCCAAGAACATCTTTTTGAGTCCTCTCACATTAAGCGCCTTTGTATATCTTGGTTGCATCTTGTTTGTAGTTTCCATCTGGGAAACAGCCGTACTCCATCATGGCACAGGGAGCTGTCTCTGTCAGCCCTGAGCCGTCCGGAGCAGAGCTGCATATCAAACCCCAACATAATTACCCATCTCACAGTTTATTATTTACACATGAGCAATACAGCTGGTGAACATCATAACTCAAGTGTATGTATAATAAGTTACTACACTGTAGCCATCTCTTGTTGCAACCCGTAAGAAAAACCACATGATGACTTTTCCAAAGTCAGGCTAAAACTGCTGAAGCAGAATAAAGTGCCACTAAACCTGGCTACCTCCTATTTATCATACAATTTCCTGACTGATGGTTCCACAAACCAGCTGCTAAGTGCTGTGTACTCTACTGTCAGCAGACTAACATGCTAAATGGGAGACAGGGAGAATAATGTACAGAACTACAGAACTGGTGGAGTCAATTTTACAGATGGAAATCAAATCCTGCCATGTTGGGTCAGCCCTCAGCACAAAAGTAGCTGGCAAATTCTACGTGCTTGGGGGCCCACGACCACTCCACTTTGAAAAGCACTGAATATTTATATGGAAAGACTCTGAGATCAGAGAGCTGCCAAAGCACCCATCATCCAGGGCTTCATTTGGAATTCACTTGAAAAGGCATAAAATGTAATTGGTTGGCGTGTATTTATATGGAAATAGATAATAAGTTTACAAAGCAATAACTGAGGCTGTGGCCAGTTTCACACTGACTTTTCATATCCCACCCAGTAACTATTTCATTAAAGGCACCATCAGAATATTAATGGCACATTCTACCACAATTATTGATACTGTAGGTAAGTAAAAAATTGAGCGAGACTAGTCAGGCTGGAATTGAATCTGAACCTATCTGACTCACAGTTGTTTGTGCAAGATGCTTCACCTATCTAGAAAACCAGGGCAAAAACTCAGTGTCAAAGACAGGTTAGCTGGTCTATGTTTTCATTAATTCATTTAAACTGTGAGGAAAAAAACTCTTACCCTCAGCAAGGAGAAACTCCTCTCACCAAAACAAATCGACAAAATCTAACTTCTTATTCTGCTAAGGAAATTACTTATTACCTTCTTAAAAATTCTGGCTAAGATGCAAACTTACAGAGAGTATGCCAGGCAGTTTTCTTACAGACATCCAAATGCAACTGTGAATTCCTGGGCCAATGACACTCTTGCAGAGACTGATGTAAGTGTACAGTACATGGACAGATGCTGGCTGTGTATTTGCAGCCCTCAGCTTCAATTCAGTAGAAGTATTTGATTCTGTGCATGAATTCCACTGTTTTCAAGAACTTGTAAGGACATGCCAAAGCACTGGCAATATATTTGAAGACATTGCTCACACATTGCTGAGTTTGGTAGCTATTGCTGCCTTTGGAATTTTTTGCTGCCTACTGCTGAAAGCTTCTTTCAGATGTTCTCATGTGTCCTACACCACTAGCGGGGTCTCCTTAAAACAAAGTGTGAGACACAACTGCCTGCAATGCTAAAAACTCATCAATTTTATAACTGTGAGATCATTCTGGAAAAATATGTCAATTTATGCTGCCTTTCTGTTGTGTAAAACCTGCCTTCTTATTTCTCCTTCAAGAATCATTCTTATCTTCTAAAAGAAGTGAATAGGATCATCTCTCTCCAATTACAATCATTCCCATACAGGAAAAAAGAAGAGACCTACTCTTGTTCTCTGAAAGTCGACAACCGAAGTCTCTGCTGCAGCGTCAAGAGAAAGAAACTGGGAGAAAGGACAGGTATGTATGATCCTTGATGCTGAACAGCAAACCTGAATTGAAGTCTGATGAGATGCAATTCACAGCAAGACTTGTTGGAAAGGGGGATGATGCCAGCTGGCTCAAAGGTGCTCTGCAACACTCTGAGAGGACGGCAGAAGGATTAAGCCGCTACAAAGCTCGCTGAAGTTTGTGATAACTTCTGTACACTTTAGTCTCTCCAATATGCCTTACTTAGGTGATCACTACATTTGGAAAGGTCGGCTGTGATGGTGATATGAGTAAAACACTCTGCCCTCAGCTAGCTGATTTGCTGAAGCACCTTGTGATTCCTGCCAAATGCCTGAGGGAGATGGCTGCTGAAATGACAGGCTGCCTTTTTCAGCACATCAAGAAAACTTGTGCTACCGTCTGTGGTGAACCCTAATGTGATAACCGTAGAAGATGCCTGCACTGGCTTGAACTCACCCAGTGTGGCCCCGATGTCTGCACCTGTGTCACGAGGTCAGGACCAAGAAAACAGATGTCCCAAGCCCAACACAGGAAGCCCTCATTATGTTTCAGCACATTTGTCCTTAGGACAATCAGCTCAGCAAATTACATGTCAGAGCTGAGCCAGGTGCAAACTTCTATCTCAGATATAACCTCACTTGAGGTGAAATCTCCTTCCTGTTGAAATCCATTACAGCCTTGATGCCAAACGACAGTACCAAGCTTTCACACCAGATGTAACAGATACAGTATGATGCAAAA